TTGGCCAACATTATTTCCAATTTCCTACCAAATTAACAATAAAAGAGTGCTAATTATTTGTCAATAATTAACTTAAAAATTAAAGCTGGTAGATGTTTACTTGAATTAAACGCACATAAATACTAAAAAAGTTAAATAACAACAGATCATTGTTGTAAGAATTAAAGATTTCAATAATACAAATTCGTGTTATTTTTTAAATATCTAGTCAAAGTCAACATAAAATCATATAATCAAACAGAATAGCAAATTTGGGTTTTAATTCCTAGAGAGTAGAAACCATACTAATGTTAACTTGTTTGAATATTATCACCAAATGAAAAGTATTATCATACATTATTTTATAACAAATTTTGTACCTCGACCCATATGTTTCTTACTAGGATATGTAACCAATCATTGATGACTATTCAAATAAATTTTTATTGTTATATTTAATATCTACTTAAATAAATTACAAGAAGTTAAATTACAAGAAGTTTCTTCATTCATAATTTATTTAATAAAAATTCTTTTAACAAATTATTTAGTAGCATACACAATACAATTATAATATAAGAGTGTTACTTAGAAAAATTATACTTGCAACTTTAACAAAATTAAAATGTTAGTCTGTATTTTTAATTTTAAATAATCACCTAAAAACCGTATTATTAGTTTTATTTAAATGGAGCCATCACCCATCAAAGTTTATTATATTATATTATAATAAGTTTTGTAACTCAGATCATACTTTAAGAATAACAGATAATTTTTTTATTTTTAAATTAAAATAATATATAACTTATATTTTGCAATACAAATGTCAAATTAGATATAGTAAGAAAATGACAAATTAGATATATTATATATTAAAAACTGATATCATATAACAAATTATTCAAGTATTTTATTTTATAGTTTTAAAAGTACCAATACACATAAATAAAACTCTTAAAACTCTATGGATCACTCATGTAAACACTATATGATGTTGGACACTTAATTCAGAATGTTTTGCACGCGCACACACATACACACACATATATATAGTTGGATTTATTAAAATAATTTTCCGTCAAAGAAATATTTCTTCCTAAATTAGAAACTTCTTTTAAACATTATTTTTTAATTTTCTTTTGGTAATTTCTTATTTGTCATCCGTGGAGAGGCTTTTATTATTACTTCAGATATTGTGATATTAATATGTGATCTAAACCTATTGATTAAATTTCCAACAAAAGAAATTAATTAATTATTGTATTTCTATCTAATTCGTTTTTATTTTTATTTTCAGTGATGTGATATAAATAATTTGAAATCAGTTTTTAAGAAAAATATATAATTAATTATTCAGTTTCCACCCAATCTAAAATTTTATTTAATTTAAAAATATAAATTAACGAATATGGTTATATATTAATCGCTCCAAAAATAAAGCTTTATATATTAAAAAACATATATAATATTTAAAATAATTCTAGAAATGCATAAATGAGAAAAATTCATAAGTATGATTCTTTTTCTATTTAATTCCGTAGTATTGTCTGTTTTTACTTCTTTTTTATTTTTATTATTCTGAATTAATGTCATTTTATTAAAAGCTTAAGAATATTATAATTTCTTATCCATTTTTTATATATCATATTGAATTAACTTTTATTTTACGACCTTCGATTTGACCATGATATTGTAGGTATATATAAAAAATAATTATGTTTAAAGAATTAGTAACTTTATAAGTCAATATTGCATAAAAAATGAACTTAAAATTATTATTTAATACTGATTTTCAAATAAAAAAATAGTCTCAAGTTACTCACATAATGAAATATATATGTATTTATAATAAATGTATCTAGTATAAAACAATTAAAATAATAATTAGTATGTTTCTTATTTACAGGTTTCCAAAAGTTAATTCCAAAATAATAAAGATATAAGTACAACCTATTTCAAGAATCATGTATGTACAATTTTAATATGAGGAATTTATTGATCATTTGTTGAACTGTCACGTACTATATTATGAAGAATTAAAATATTTTATAATATATTTTATTGAAAATTATAATAAATAAATGAGTAATCTATCAAACTATAATAGTCATAAATTTATAAAGAAAAATTAAAATATTTATCTCATATATTGTTGTATATATGTACTAAGCATCCTCAAAGAACCCATGAGATTATCACCATAGCATGTCACTCCTGAGCAAGGTCCAAGAACAATGGTATATTCGGCCCAACATAACGTGTCAATCACATGATCGCTTCTGTCAACAATTGCTGATCTCAGTGATCACCGTCGACCGCCCTACAGCGTATGAACACGCTCTGATATATTGAACTAGTAAAACTGCTAAATATGGTGATACCACCACCCAAGAGGTCTCGTCTCGTCGTCCAAGCTGGTCATTTCTTGCAGACGTACAAAAATACGTCTCATCCTCAAAAGAGGAATTTTTGTATGGTTCCACGCGTCCTCTTCTTAGCCATTAATGTGGCTCATAATCATCATTACACTTTGTGCTAAACATAGAAAACATACAGCATACACAAGCCCGTTCTTCGGTCATCATTGTAACACCAAACTAATTGTGCTAGTCATTTCCTTTGGAGAACCATTCTCCTCGCCGATCTCACAGCAAATCAGGAAGCTCGTGTTACTTTATTTATCGCAGACTACACTTCACGTACTTATATATTTATTGTTTAGCTACCCTTAATCTCTAATTTAAGAAACGTTGACTATCACTCGCCAACAAATTGCCACTAGAGGAAGGGCTCGAATCACTTATTTTGGTGAATCTATCTTGTGACAAACAGATCCGACTATGTCTCACTCTCCAATCCTACTTCACTCCAACCCGTATTAAAGATAGTGGAGTTGAGTTAGATTTTGAGTATGAATTAGATGTGAGTAAATTATTTTGTAAACAAACAGGTTCTAAATATCCAACATATTTATGGACATTACAACCCTAGTTATTTTTTAACTGAAGTAAATTAAAATCAATCCAGCTCAAATGACAACATGCAAAATTTGTCAAATAAAATCACGACACATTCGTGTCTGCAACTTAAGCTCAACACAATCGAAAATTATGTATAGAGGGAATTTATTATATTTTTAACACACACACATATATATATACACATATATATATTGTAAATGTGAATTATAAACATTTATTAATTAATATATCAATGTAAGTGTTAGGCCATGTAACACCACCATTACCTATTATATATAATTTGAGAGACTGTGGCTATGTTTGGTAGACCAATAAGCTAGCTAATAACTTATTTAGTTAGCTTATAAGTTTCCTGTATTTAAATAAGTTTCGTTTGGTAGGACGAGATTTTTTAAAAAGCTCGAGTTTATCTCATAAATTTCTTTTGGTAGCTTTTCAAATAAGCCAATTAAAATTTTATTTCAGCTAACTTATCAGCTAATTTTACCAAACACTTTTATCATATAAACTAGTTTTCCATTATAAGTCATAAGTTATAAGCTCGAAATTTACTGATAAGTTATAAGCTAGCTTATCAGTTATCAGCTAGTTTACCAAACATAGCCCCATATACACAATCAAATCAATCTTATTCACAACATATGCTTCGAACGTTAATACGGATTATATATAATTTGAGGGAGGGAGAGGGACTATGCATATGCACCATCAAATCAATCTTGTTCACAATATTTGCTGCAAATTTCGATGTAGTTATTATGTTTGTTTTTTTTTTTTCCCCCAAATATATGAAAACGAATAAAACGAGATGTTTTCCTTTTACCGTTGAAATCCTAATAAAATCTTCTTGCATTCCCGGAGCGGCTACCTGCAACTTATGATTATTAACCACAGTTTTGACCAAGTCAAACCAATACCGTACCTGAAAAGAACAAAAATTTAGATTGATTGAGTGTTAGTATTACTAGATAAAAGAGAATAATTTAGTTGGGTTATTATGAAGAACTACCTATCCGTAGTGAATCTGGTGCAGTCCACACCACTGATTTGTATGAACAAAAATCATTGCTTATTCCTCTTTGCAGAACCGTATTTTTTTTCTTAGTTCAATTGCAAACGGGTTCGAGCAGTTAGTCGAGGAATTGCTCATCACGTGTAGATATAAATTATACTTTTTTCTATTCATAATAAATGTCGTTTTAAGAAGTTGAACAGTAATTAAGAATATTTTTTTTTGCCAATAATAACCCTCTTTAATGAAGATAGAGAATGATGTTTTGAGAAAAAATGAAGAGTGAATATGAAAAGACGTAATGTATTTATTAGCTAAATGAGGATAATAATGGAAAAATATGTACAAAAGATCCAAAACGATATTTATTTGGTTAATAGTTAATAAAGCCAAAATGACATTTAAAAAGAATAGGAGGTAGTATTATTATTGATCTTTCTTTTTATTTATAATGAAGTACAATATAGCACAGGTAAGCAAACATTGTGGATAGTGTACACGCTTACAATTTTATTTGGCACATAAATTAAATACTTCTCACGATTTCACCACAAAATGCTTACGAACTTTATTTTATTAGAGATGGAAACAAGTCGATAGGTGCATGATGCCGTAAAATTTAAGGCATAACAGGATAATTTAATACCTTAATCAAAGGTTACCTAACCCAAAAAATAAAAATTACGCCACACATGTTCTTGTTTCCAAATGATTAGACACCACTTAATTAGCTTTCTTGCTTGTGTATATGTTCTACTTGTCATATGATAGTTAAAATACACACACACACACAAAAAAAGTAAGAGTAACCGAAAAAAAAAAATATGTGAGAGAAAAGAAAAGGAGTCCCCAATTTTAAAATTGCTAATTGTTGATTTGGAGATTAGTGAAAGTCAGGGCACGGGTTTGGCTTCTCGAACGAGTTTGGTAAGAAACTCGGTCAACAATTGAGAATAGTATTGTAACTCAGGCTCAAAGTTTGACTAGTCTGCGACATTGAATATTCTGTTTTATGTTTATTTTAACACAATATTTATAAATAAAGTTATTGTTTGTAACTTTTATACATCTATCTATCTATACTATTATAAAAGGACGAGTGATTTCGTAAAAACAATGATTTGCCTAAAAAAACTCTTACTTTGACATATTTTTAATGGCACATTAATAATACAGTAATACCCATCTTATTTTATATTTTTAATTAACAATGAACTACCTAAAAAACCCTTACTTTGACTTAATTTTAAT